TAAAGGAGTTCATCATCACCAAGCCCTTATTTTATGAAATGTTAAAGGGACTTATTAAGAAAAGAAGATTAAAAAAAAAACATGTATAGTAAAAGGACAGCAAACTCACAATTATTAACAACCACACCTAAAGCAAAACCAAAAGAAACTAAGCAAACAACTAGAACAGGAACAGAACCACAGAAATGGAGATCACATGGAGAATTAGCAACAGGGGAGTGGGAGGAGGAGAAGGGGGGAAAAGGTGCGCAGAATAAGTAGCATAGATTGTAGGTAGAAAATAGACAGGGGGAGGGTAAGAATAATATGAGAAATGTAGAAGCTAAAGAATTTATAAGTATGTCACATAGACATGAACTAAAGGGGGGAATGTGGGTGGGAGAGGGTGTACAGGGTGGAGAGGAGTGAAGGGGGAAACGGGACAACTGTAATAGCATAATCAATAAAATATATATTTAAAAAAAGAGTATGGAACCAATGTATAACATGGTGACAACTATAGTTGATAACACTGTATGATGTAACTGAAAGCTACTTAAGGAGATTAAAACTTAAATGTTCTCACTAAAAAATAAGTAAAACTAGCTTCATACTTTAAAAAATTAATTGGTGCCATAAATCCAGACAAATTGGAAGAATTAATAAATGTTGAAGGGGTCAAGAGAAAGGAGCTGAATATGCCTATTTCCTTGTTCTTTTTTCTTTGGTAACCAAGAATCAAAAGATATCATTTAGAGGAAATATATTTCTATTACTTGATTTATCAGTACAAAGGCATTTATAAAGAAGAATATTATCAAAAAAAATTCAGTGATGCAAGAGTGGAGAATAACAGCAAAACAAATGTCAGAGTTAACATTATCCACCGAGAGTTTTGTAATTATACAACAAAGGGAACACAAAAATAGGAAAATTCAGGAACTGCCTACTAATGATCAAACACAGACACAGAAAGAAAAGATAATTTGTAATGAGTAAAAGGGATTTGGATCTGGAAAAAACTAAATAGAGTATAAATGAAGCAATCATCAAAAGTGCTGGTGTGTCCAACAAGAATCAACATTTACAAAAATTTGCTAAGACATATACATAAATATTCATTGCAGCACTGCTTTTCTTTAACAAACTGGAAACAGAATTAGATATCAATCAGGGGAAGATGAGTCAAATTAATTAGATATTTAACAGAATATAGTGCAGCTATTTAAAAACTGAGTCAGATTTATACAGGGTCTAGCAGAAGTAATGCCTGCTTGAGTGTCGTTGGTAGAGTAATAAATATGTGTGCAATAATTTATAGTTTTGATTTGAACATTTCACCTAAAATGTCATATGGTATGCTTGAGTGTGATATTGTTAGGTTACAGAATTATATACGATTTTGTGATAAAAGATTTTGTAATAAAACAAAGGGGCACTATTTATATGTGGGCCCTGTATCTATGCACCTATGTAGAAATGAAAATAAGAAAGATGCAGAAAAAGATCAAAAGGGTTGGGTTTTTTTTCATTATAAATACACACATCTAGCAAGATATGCAAAAAAATTTTTCCACTGTAAGATACAAAAGCCCTGACTGGTCTAGCTGAGTTGGTTGGGCATTGTCCCACAAAGCAAAAGGTTACCAGTTCTATTTTAGTCAGGACACATGCCTATGTTGCTGGTTTGGTACCTGGAAGGGGCGCCTAGCTAAGAGAGGCAACAGATCAATGTTTCTCTCTCATACAGATGTCTCTCTCCCTCTCTTCCTCTCTCCATTCCCGTCTCTAAAAATAAATAAATAAAATCTTTAAAAATATATATACAAGAGAGGCCCTGGCTGGGTGGCCCAGTTGACAGGAGCATCAGCCCATACACCAAAAGGTTGCAGGTCTGATTCCTGGTCAGGACACATACATAGGTTGTGGGTTCAAACACTCGTGAGGTCACATGCTAGAGGCAACCAATCAATGTTTCTCTCTCACATCAATGTTCTCCCTCCCTCCCTTCCTCTCTCTTTCTCTCCCAACCCCTTGCTTCTTCTCTCTCTAAAGTCAATAAACATATCATCTGGTAAGAATTAAAGAAACACACAAAAAAAGATATAAAAAAGAGGCCCTGGTCAGGTAGCTCACTTGGTCAGAGAGTAGTCCAGATACTCCAAGGCAGAGGATTCCATCCTCAGTCAGGGAACACACAAGAATCAACCAATGAATGCATAAATAAGTGAACAACAAATCCATGTTTCTCTCCCCCACTTCCTTTACCCCCGTCTCTTAAAAAAAAAAAAAAAAAAAGAGAGAGAGCGAGAGAAAAAAAGGAAAACAAATTTAAATAAAGAAATAGTGACCCCCACAGAAAATAGAAGGGGAGGAAGAAGGGACTTTTTTCATATTGTTTGATGAGTTTTCTCCTTCTGTGTTTCTGTAGACCCATGAAACTAAAATTACCTAAAGTCCTTCACTCATCTGAATACATCCTTAGAACTGTTAAATGAAATATATAATTTTAAGATCAAAAAAGGAAAAACTGTAAATTTTTACACTAACAACGAAAAGAATTTATCACCTGCAACCTTTGCTGAAATACAAGATGTACTTCATCAGAAGAAAACTCAGAAGCACAGAGCAGGATGCCTTAAGCAATGGCTTTCCTAATATTATAAACCAAAATATTATGATCAAGGGTTATAAATAAACACCAGAAAAAGCAATAAAATAAAAGCTCATGGGAAATAACTGCAAATTACTATCCTTCAGAAGTCAAAATACTCTTAGGGGTAAGGCAAAGTTTTCTAAGAGCTCACAACTTTTTGAGGCAAAAAGAAATACTGCTCTTTGTCATCAGTAAATCCCCAGTGCCTCAAACAGCATCTCCTACAAATAACATTAAGTACATGTTGAAGTAGTAACTTACACTATTGTCAGCAGCAGCAACAAAGTATTTTTAATGCTTTCAACTTGTTATTTCCTAGCCATGTAATGACTGTAGATAGTGGGAAAGTAACACGGTAAAAGGTCTAGGAGGCAATGAGCAGAGAACAATCCTTATCACACCGAACTGCCAGACAATCATAGGGCTTAGGAAACTAAAGTTTTTTAAAATTCCCAGTTCATTTTGGGAAAGAATGTAACAAAATTTTAAAACCACAAAACAACCAGACTAAATGAACCTGACCCTCTACCAGCTCTAACCAGCCAAGGATTCTTGATCTTACCTTAGGTAACAATTTTCAAATTTTCTGCAAGAGACTTTGTTTATCTTTAAACATAATACATGATACGAGTAAGTTGAGTTTTACTAGAAAACTTACTGAACTGCTAAGTTTAGAGTCCAAACTAAAAGAAATATCTGACTAGTTTCTACTGTTTGTTGAGCAAAATTTTGTCTTAACTTACACAGCATCAGCGTATTCAGCAATGTGACCATAACTGTTTAATAAACATTTACTGAACAAAGAAAGGGCAAAGCTCCATATTTTTATTCTAAAAGAAATGAGAATCTACCAAAAGGATTCAGAGATTAAGTGGTGATCAAATTTCCACCTTTCAAAGAAATATTGGCTCCCGTATTGAAAAAATAGTTTAGAGGAGGATGGCAAAAAATCCAGCAACAAAACTGCTGCAGAAATCCAGGCAGGCATCTGTGGAGGCAGCCAACTGACAGTATATAAACATTTACTGAAATGCTAACTTAAAAAAGGAAAAACAGCCCTGGCCAGCATGGCTCAGTTTGTTGGAGCACTGTCCTATAAATCAAAAGGTCGCAGGTCTGACCCCCCAGTCAGGGCATGTGCCTGGACTGTGGGTTTGCTCCCCAGCTGGACCACAGGCAAGAGGCAACCAATCGATGTTTTTCTCTCACATCAATGTTTGTCTCCCTCTCTCCCACGCCCACTTCCCTCTAAAATCAGTAAGCATGCCCTAGGGTGAGGATTAAAAAACAAAAACAAAAAATTTAAGAGCAAAATAGCTCAAATAAACTAGGTGCTTATTTTAAGAAATACAAACTGTTACAGATAGTAAAAAAGATGAGTGACAGGAAGAACCAGAAAAGATAACTTGGAGAATTAAAGAACAAAAACAGGGAGGGGAGAAATAATAAAAACAGGCATAAAAAGAAACCTAGAAAGAGGAAAAGTAGACAAGTAAGCTTTTGGTATATATTTAAACAGTTTATCATGCTCTGACTGGTGTGGCTCAGTGGATTGGGCATTGTTCTTCTAAATGAAAGTTGCCAGTTTGATTCTCAGTCAGGGCACACACCTGGGTTGTGAGTGCCCGCTTGGAGGAGTGCAAGAGGCAACTGGTTGATGTTTCTTGCACCTCAATGTTTTTCACCCTCTCTTTCTTCCTCCCTTCCCCCTCTCTAAAAATAAGCAAATAAAATCTTTTTTAAAATGAAAACTAAAAAAAAAAAAACAAAAACCAGCTTCTCTGTTGTTAGGTATTTAACTAGTAATAATGACAGTAAACTATTCTATTATTAGCTCTTAGAAAATATTAGCTCAGTCTCAAGTGTTTAAAATGTTAGAATCTAGTGTTCCTGATTCCACATATCTACCAGCACACATGAATCTTTTCTTTATCTCTGCCAAAGAATATCCATTTGTAATCTTTTGGCATGTGGTAGTAATCTTAACTAGACAGCATTTGTCTTCATTCTTTCTACCAAAAAATATCTTGATTTGTGACTTTAAGCCATTATCTACGTACCAAGAATTACCGCCTATGCTTTCTTTTCTATCTTTCTTTCTCTTTTTTTGCCATCAAAATCATATATTAGCTACTGGCAAAATTCAACCTTAATTACCTCCAACAACACTACTTATGTAGGGGAAACTTACTGTTGTTTTTTTTAAGGACGTTCTCTCAAAAAAGCGAGATGTTTTTCTAATGTGTTGAGTTCCAACTGTATCTAAACTCCTAACTCGCAACTTGAATACAATACATGTCAGTAGGAACTATAAATGAACCCCCCAAAAAAGAAATCTTAACCTATCTACATGAACCCACCTTACCTTGCCTCATCAGCATTAACTGGTGTTCATGCCTGGCTGCTTCCATTTCTGCCTCTAGCTTCTCTTTGGCTTCTCTGATGTTTCTGTCAACCTGCTCACGCTGCTGCTTCTCCATTTCATCAAGAGCCTTCCATCGAGATGCATACTCAAACTCAAATGTCCCAGGCTGAGCAAAACGTGGTGGTTGTTCTCGTTCCCTAAGTTTATATTTAAAAACAAACAGAAATGTATGTTTAAATGGCAAAAACAACAACTAAAAATAAATACCATTTACTGAGCCCTTACAAGGTTCATCAATATTCTACATAAATTGCCTCATGGCAATATTGTGATGCCAATTTTAACAAGTCTGAGTTTGAGAACGCAATGGAACCAGGACTCAAAACTAGGCAATTGGATGCAAGAACCTGTACTCCCCTAATTATCACCTTCAATAAGGCCTTTCTGGTATTCATTTAACAAATGTTGTTAGACAAGGCAATCTGCAACATACAAATCCAATGTGCCCTGTCTAGAAACTTTTTTTTTCCCTGTAAGTGGTAACTTTTATGCATAGTAGTAAAAGCAGAGAATTTATTAAATTTTATGTACTAAGTAAACTGGCTAGGACCAAAAATAAAGGCCAACCTTATTGTAGTTATCTGTTCAATACTTGTTTCCCTTGCTACATTATAAACTCAATAAAGACATGAAAGGTCTGTTAATGGCTGTACCTCAACTACCCACAGTACCTAGCACGTTGTATACATTTAATATTTCCTAGATAAATGATGAACAAATAACCTGAACTTCTTTAAAAATAAAATCGTATGAAAATACCTGACATTCAAAGAAATTCTTCAATTATATTTGCCTATCATAGCTTCAATTAGAAAGTACTGATAAGAACACAATCCTCACACCACCAATAAAAGTATACATGCTTTGCATTCATAAATTTAACTTCTATTTGGGGATGAGGAGGAAAAGATGGTTGCGTGAGTGGGACAAAGTTCAGAGATAATCATGGGGGATGTCACAGAGGGTAAGATGCAGTAACAAAACAGCTTCAAGGATTAGAGGTATATAAGGAAAATAGAAATTAACCATGCGTTAGGTAGTGTGACACTAAAAAAGATTTGGATTTTGTTCTTTATTTAAAAAACAGACTAGGAAAGTGGAAGAAATAGTGGGATCTACCACCCACTAATTTTATGAAAGAACTGTTTATTAGTCAGCAGTTCCTAAGGCAAACTGAAAATATTATAGTAATAAATATTAAAAATACTTCTTTCTCCCAAGAGAAATACTTTTCAAACAATATGAATTTGGGGAGTTAGAAATGAATTTGAATGGTGGTTCTTATGCTTTGTGAACATTTCCTTTTGAATGTAACTCTTGAGTAATAAAACTGGGACTATAACAAGATCTTACAGGTTTGCTGGGATAACTGACTCACTATATAAACAAATATTGTCTATAAATTCCACTTCTTACAACTACTTATAATACCATTTCTTATAACCCTTATCATTCCAGTTTTCTAATTCCTAAATCCAAAGGTATACTCTATTTCAAATTTGTAATGATAGGCAATAACCAGGAAAAAAGGTCAAGAGAATAGGCTATCATAGTAAGTTTTTGAAAAATAGCATGAAAGAGATTTAAATGGTTATGAATTACCACTGATCACTGCTAATCCTGCTTCCCTGGAATAATTTCCTTCCTTGCTTCCAGGACATACACTCTGCTAGCTGTCTTCCCTACTCCAATGACTGCTTTCACTCAGTCTTTGCTGATTCCTTCTGATCTTCCCAAGCTGAAGTATATATACTGGAGTATTCCAGGGTTCAGTCCTTTGACATAGTATTCTATCATATGAGATAATTCTGGCCCAGACAGCTTATCTAAAATCCAGATGAAAATGCAACTACTGACTTGATATTCCACCTGAATGTTCAAAAGTTATCTCAAACTTAATATGTCCAAAACAGAGTTCCTGATCTTCCTCCACAAATCTGCTCCTCCTACAGAAGTAGTCTTCAAATCATTAGTAGTTTCCATACTTTGAACTATTTCTCCCATATGTCCATATCATTCAGCAAAATCCAAAGTCTACTTTCAAACTATATCCATAATCTAATAACTTCTCACTATTACCCTTGTGACTACTAATGTCCCATGTCCATGTCCATAGGCTCCTGAACTTATCTCCCTGACTCCACGCTAGGCTCTTTATAATCTACTCTAAAAACAAAGCCAGCAAGCTCCTGTTAAGCCAGCAAGTTCCTGTTAAAATTAAGTTACTGTTCTGTTCCTTTCTCCTAAAACACAAAAGCCAAAATTAGCCTGACAGTGTGTAACGGCTAGCAACCTGTACTCTTCCCAATATGTCACTTACTCTACCTCATCCCTACTACTTCCCCCTTACTCACCATACTCCAGCTGAACCAACTTCTTCACTGTTCCTGGATGCCAGACAGAGTCCTCCCCACAACTGCAAGCCAGCTTCTCTCCCAAACTTTGAGCTGTTCACCTTCAAATATTACTGGCTCAGGTAGGCTTTCCTAACCCCATGTACAAGAGCCATAGTCCTCTGCTCCCCTGCACCCACTTTTCCCTGTCTTTTCACCAACCCCTTACCACATAGCATGACTTCCTACTCTATTGTGTTCATTGAAACATCTTCAGCACTAGGTATATAACACACACTCCTACTTGTCATTTGAATTATTGAAGGGAAAAACATTCAGCTACACTAAAATCAAAGAATGATACTTAAAATAACATACATAAAATTCCATTTTGAACACAGAATATGAAATCTTAAAATCCTAACATCCACCCTGGCTGGCATAGCTCAGTGAATTGAGCGCGGGCTGCGAACCAAAGTGCCGCAGGTTCGATTCACAGTCAGGGTACATGCCTGGGTTGCAGGCCATGACCCCCAGCAACCGGCACATTGATGTTTCTCTTTCTCTCTCTATCTCCCTTCATTCCCTCTCTAAAATAAATAAATAAATAAACAAACAAAATCTTAAAAAAAAAAATCCTAACATCCATTTGTCAGGATGAAAGAAAGCACTTCTATGTATACACCAAGAGTATAAACTGGTATAATACTTCTAGAGAACCATTTGCCTAAATATGGATCCTTTCTGAGCTAAGTCTTTATATCTTACTTTAGTGTCTCTCTAAATAGTACTTGTCACTACTTAATAGATGTTTTAGAATCTTCAGTTTACTATTTTTACTTTTTTTTTTCATTTTTGTTCTTATATTCCATTCTATGGTTCACTATTTATCATACATCTTCCACCACTAGAAATGCAAGCGTCATGAGAGCAAAAACAGTGCCAAGTTGCACTGGTAACACCTAGAACAGTGCCTGGCACAAAGGCATTCCAATTATTTGTTCAATTCATGTTACAATTTATTATAATAAACTATTATAATAATTTATTATATAAATAAAAAACAATTTATTATAATAAATAAGTGGTTAAAATTTATATATACAGGCAGCTTAACATTAAAAGTTGCATCACACTGAGTGAAAAGCAATTGGTGAAATAATATACAACATTTTGAAAATAGGCTACTTTTCCTTTTTATCTCTAAGAGATAAAACTGTATCGAGTTATTTCTATAGGACCTCCCCTACTCAACCTTCCAAAAAGTCTTTTTAATCTCTACCTGAACATAATTAAACATTTTCATGATGTTCAGCTTTCATTGTTACTTTAGCATAAATATTATTGCCAGTGTTCTCTTATCAATCCAACCCTGCTAGTTATAAAATAGAGGCTTTTCTAAGTATTCAGTTGATGTTTAGCCATATACAAAGAAAACTAGTATTCCATGTAGACCAGGTTACTCTAAGAACCACATTATATGAATAAACAGAACACTTTATAATCCAACAATACTGGAAAACAAATGTGATATAATATCCTTGATGGCACATATCTAAAATATCTTTACTTTATCACCCTGGCCAGTGTGGCTCAGTTGGTTGGAGTGTCATCCTGTAACTGAAAGGTTGCAGGTTCAATTCCCAGTCAGGGTACATGCCTAGGTTATAGTTTCAGTGCCTGCTCCACGTGAGTACAGAATAGAACCAACTGATGCCACTTTTTCACACTGATATTTCTCTCTCCCTTCTTCTCTAAAAAAGCAATGAAAAAAAATATCCTAGGGTGGGGATAATATATATATTTATATCTTTATTAATAAAATCTTACTTATGATATTGTTGAGTTTTCTGCATTAGCTTCTCTGGCAAGCCATCTTCATCATCAAATTGCTCCATTGGCTCCACAATGACTGGCCGTGGGGTCCTGGATAGGTAGAAAACATTAATAAGAATACAGAGTCTGGAGTTAACATTCTCCTAGCAATTTTTTGTAATTCCAAGATACATATTTGGGAAATGTCCCTCAATAAGAAGTTCTCAAAGGCCATCATACATACTCATAAAATCGGTCAATTAGCATGTGCTGTACCACAGATGAATAGCAAAGTCAGACTAAGATGAATCCTTGTTTCTAGAACAATCTATTCAAGATGACAGAAAAGTAAACCAACTCTGAGCCTTTGTAACCACTGTAGTTAACCTTCACAAAGTACAAAGGATGAGTGAGTACTTAACTCATGTTTTATGTATGTAGTATCATGTCCTTGTGTCCTAGGACCTCAAATTCCCATCTCCACCCACCTTTAGCCTTTTTCTGTGTCTAACCAGTCTTGTTCAGAAAAGTCTTTCTAAAACCTAAAATGAGACCTAAGATATCAGTTAGGCAAAAGAGAAAGAGAGGAAGTCAGAAGATATAATGTATACAAGGAGCAAAGTGAGGGGAGGAGGAAGTCAAGAATAGAAAAAAAAAGATAAACTATAATTGAAAAAGTAGAAGATAAATGACATGATTTAAAAACCCTTTGTTTACCATTTTCCCAAGGAAACTCCAAAACTGACAATTCACCCTCTACCCCAAATCCCCTTGGGGTAGATGAACTTCTTTTAGTAGTTTTAACATTTTATTTTTGTTCTCTCAACTAGTTGCTGGAGGAGGCAGGCCTGTCCCAGGCGACTAGACTACAGGAAGCTTACACCTGGTATCCTCCAGACTTCATCCCACATGCATTTTTCCTATACTGAATGTGCCCTGTATTCTTTCACTGTAACAAATCTTAGTCGGGAAACTATATATGCTGAGGCCTGAGTCCTTCTACGGAACTACCAAACCTTAAGGTGATCTTGGAACCTGTTTCATCCCCAATACACCTGAAAGTACACAAATCAAATACAACTTCTGACATATTCATGTTTTTATTTTCAATCAGTTTATTAACACAAATTTGGATCACAGCATACCTCTGGTTTTGTGTCCTTTTTTTATTTGCTAAATAAATGTCTTTAAAAAAAGTTTTAGAACACTTACAGCTAAATGCTCTGCCATAAACAAATGTGGTACATAATTTTAGTTTTGTTTGCATTTTTATTTATACAATTCACACACTTAAAAAATGTACCCTTTTAAAGTATACATTTCAGTGGTTTTTAGTATGTACAACCAGTGTAATCACAAAATATTTTTTAGTTGATCCCAGAGAGAGGCAGAGGGAGAGAGAGAACTATCAACCTGTTGTTTCATGTATTTATATATTCAGGTTGATTCTTGTATGTGCCCTGACTGGGGATTAAGCCTGCAACCTTCATATCTGGACAATGCCAACTGAAATACCTGGCCAAGGCCAAAACATTTTCATCATCCTAAAAAAAATGCCAAAATCATTAGCCACCAACTCCCCATTCTCTTTCCCCTGAGTCTCTGGCAACTAGTACTCTATGGCATATCCTACCTTTAAAAATTTATTTTCATGAGTGTTACATTTTCTGGTATCATAAAATATTCTTATAAAAATTAACTACCCACTAATCCACTGTAGTATCAGCTTAACCAATTCTCTATGAAGAAATTCAGATTTTTCCAATATTTTATTATTAGAAATAGTGATAAACCAGATATAATACACCAATCCTTTCAGTTAAAATATTTACTTCAAGAATACCTCTATGATATCAGAGAGTCAAATAATCTTAAGGTTTTTATACCTAGTACCCAAATCCCTTCCAGAAAGAAAATGACCAATTTCTCTTACAGGAGTTATAAAATCACTCATCTGGCTTCACTTCATTCACTGGGTATTTTATTTATTTAACTTTTTTTTTATTAAATTAACAGAAATTTACTCTCTCACAACTCTGGAGTCTGGAAGTCCAAAATCAAGTCAGCAACACTGGTCTCTAAGACCTGGGCTCTTCTCCCTGTGTCCTCACATTCACTGGGTATGTTTATATCTTTACCAATGTAATAAATTAAAAAAAAAAGAGAGAGAGAGAGCCCTGACTGGTGTGGCTCAGTGAACTGAGCACCGGACTACAAAGCAAAGGGTCGCTGATTCAGTTGCCAGCCAGGGTGCATGCCTGGGTTGCAGGCCAGGTCCCCAGTAGGGGACATGCAAGAAGCAACCACACATTGATGTTTCTCTCCCTATCTCCCTCCCTTCCCCTCTCTCTAAAAATAAATAAGTAAAATCTTTCTTAAAAAGAAAGAAAGATCCCTGGTTGGGTGGCTCATTTAGCTGAAGTGTCATCCTGTACATCAGAAGGTTGCCAATTCAATTCCCTGTCAGGACTCATACCTAGGCTGTGAGTCTAAGCCCCAGTTGGGGTGTGTACAAAGACAACTGATCGATGTTTCTATTTCTCTCCCCTGCCCCTTCCTCTCTCTTTAAAATCATTTAAAAAACAAAACAAAACAGGTCTTCAGGTGAGTACCTGATAACACAATTCTTGTTATTTCTTAATTATCATATTTTCCATATGAGCAACTATAAACCTACTTTTGGCCCACCCTGTATTTTCATTTGACTTGACCTGCAATATCTTTAAAAACAAAAAAACCTAGAGCAAGAAAAACTGAACTACTGAGCACCTACCATGCCTGTGCAGATCTAGGGCACGAACACCTCTAATGGTCTAGTTGTAATTCTAATGCTTAACAATGTGGATGCACCATTATCATCAGAGATAAAAGTTCTTAACCCCTCCATTTTTCCACCTCTTGTAATTTCAAAACTGCATTAATACATAATTTACACATACTTTTACAATGTTAATAATTATATATACTGTACAAGTGTATAATCCATGTGTAATATGCAGTATTTTATGACAATTTAAAGGAGCTTTAAATAGAAATTTTGATTATACAAGATCTACATTTGGAAACTAAATCCCTATGATACCAAACCTATAAATCACTTGAATTATCACAGATCTCCTGAGGTTCAGTCAGTCCATCAATAAGTATCTGATTACTTAATAAGTATAAACATTGTATTTGGGGCCAAGAATACAAGAGTAAACAAAATAATCCCTGAAGTCTTCTAAGACAAAAAATAAATAAATAAAATGATTATTTTAAGAAACATCAGAAAGAACAGAGGAAGCCCACTTTAGATAAGTCAGTCAGGAACTCCTTTCCATGAAATGACATTTCAGCTGAGACCCACTAATCAAACAGCAAGGAAAAGAACATCCTGAGCTCCATGAGAAAGTTTTATTAACAAAGTCCCTGAGCATAGACTCTACAGAAGGAATAAGCCACTCCACCTGTACCACAACATAAAAAAGATTTAGCTTCCAACTAAATGTCACCATTTACTAGCTATGCAATATTAAGCAAATTCCTTAAAATCTCTGGGCCAATTTTTACACTTGACACATGGAACAAATAACCAGTGTTGTGGAAATCTTGAGATCATGATTATGAAATATGTGACAGATAACAAAATATTCAACACCGCCCTGGCCACGTGGCTCAGTTAGTTGGGCTTCCTCCGGCAAAACAGAAGGTCACCAGTTTGATTCCCGGTTAGGGCACATGCCTGGGTTGCAGACATGGTCCCTGGCTGGGGCACATGCAAGAAGGGACCAAGTAACGTCTCTCCCTCTCTTTCTCCCTACCATCCCTCTCTTTAAATAAATAAATAAAATATTAAAAAATATATATTCAACACCTTCCCTATTCCATTAAAATTGTTTTTGGCCATGGCCAGGTAGCTCAGTTAGTTGGAGAGCTGTCCTGACACGCCAGGGTTGCAGGTTCAATCCCAGTCAGGGCACATACAGGAATCAATCAATGAATGCAAGAATGAATGGAATAACAAATCAGTGTCTCTCTCTCTCTCTCAAATCGATAAATATATATTTAAATTGTTTTTAAATTATTCTAAAAGCTACCTGTAGGAAACAGTTACATATTAATTAATACCTAGCATAACTTTAAAAAACACCAATTAACCAAAGTAGAAGTGGAAAAAAATATATTACACACCTCGCCTATTGTTTTCAATCTTTCCCTTATTCATTCATTAAATAATTATTATAAGCTTACTATGTGGCCAGGAATTACTAGAATATAGGTGTTGAGCCATGACTTATATGGCTCAGTTGGGTAGGCATCCGTCACTGGTTTGATTCCTGGTTAGGGCACATCACATGCCTGGGTAACAGGCCAGGTCCTCGGTTGGGGGCCTACAAGAGGCAAGCAATTGCTGTTTCTCTCCTTCTCTTTCTCCCTCCCTCCCTTCTCCTCTCTTTAAAATAAATACAATCTTAAAAAATAAAAGAATACAGGTGCTGGAATTACAGTGTTGAACTAAACTGAGGCCCTGGCCTTGTGGAGCTTACATTCTACTGCAGAGAAAGACATACAAATTAAAACAGTAAGTGCTCTAAGAAAAATAAATTGGAAAGTAAAGCACCACTGATTGCAGAGGGAATGGTTGGTTCAATATAAAACAGTCAGCTTCTCTGAGGAAATAACATCTTAGCAAAATATGAAAAAAATAGGAGAGCAAAACCTGTCATGATTTGGAGAAAATTCTCTAAGCAAAGGAAACAAAACCAAAGACTCAAAGAAAACAACTTGGCAGGGATGTAAAACAGCAGACATGGCACAAATGCTTAACTATCTGAAACAAATTGAAAAATGTCCTACAAATCACCAACTAAGCACGTAGGCCAAGAAGCAATTTTTTTTTACAAAATTGTCTTTATATCTAAATTCCCTAAGCCCTAAAACAGTTGAATGATCCCAACCAATAACAAAGTAAGTGCCAGAGGTGGGTGCTGTTTCAGAGATAAAAGGAATCAATGCAAAAATCAAATAAAAAGCTTTCATACCAAATCCAGTCAAAGACTAAGGATGAACATCAAAAACTTCTTCATGGGCAAAATGAAAGGCATGTTACCATGGCAACAGGTCTAATGACTATTTTAATTACATATTATTTTTAAGTAAATGAATGTCCCATGTTCATGGATTTATAAAAGTCAATATTGTGGAGATGTCAGTTTTCCCCAAATGAGCTATAGACCCAATGCAATTCCAATCAAAAGCCCAGTGGAACATTTTTTTTAACTGACAAACTGATTTTATTTATTTTTAATGATTTTATTTATTTTTTTAGAGAAAGAGGAAGGAAGGGAGAAAGAGAGGGAAAGAAACATCAATGTGAGAAACATTCTGTTGCCTTTTGCATGCCCCCAACTGGGGACCTGGTGTGTAACCCAGGCACATACCCTTACAGGGATCGAACTGGCAACCTTTTTGTTCTCAGGCCGAAGCTCAATCCACTGAGCCATATCAGCCAGGGAGAGTAATTTTAAAATCAGTAAGGTTTTCCATGCATGGCTGGTGTGGCTCAGTGGATTGAGCACTGGCCTGCAAACCAAAGTATTTCCCTCCCTCCCTCCCTTCCCCTTTCTCTACAAAGAAACAAAACCTTTAAAAAAATTAAAAATAACCAGAACAATTTGAAAAAAATAATGAAGTGGGATGATACCGTCCGATTTCAAAGCTTAGGCTAAAGAAATCAAGTACAATACAGGTATAAAAATATACTGATCAATGAAACAGGAAACAGCGCAGATGTTTTCCCCAGATGTTTGATAAAAAGTAACAAAGGAGAATTTTTTTTCAATTAATGGTATTAAAACAATTGGATACCTATATGAAAAAAAAAAAAAACTGAATTGTTACCTTATGCTCAAAATGGGATCACAGGTATAAATTAAAAAGGCATAAAATTTCTCAAGAACCCTGGCCAGTGTAGCTCAGTTGGTTGGGCATCATCCTACAAAGATTGCCGATTCAATTCTGGGTCAGGGCACATGCATGGAATCAATCCCCAGTTGGGACACGTGCAGCAGGCAACTTATCAATGTTTCTCTCTCATATCAATGTCTCTGTCCCTCTCTTTCTCCCTCCCTTATCCTCTCTCTAGAATCAATAAAAACAATTTTTTAAAAATTTCTCAACTAAACATGAGAAATGATTTACTACCTTAGGAATGGCAATGATTTCATACAAGGATACAAAAAGGCACAAATCATAAAACAGAAACACTGATATTAGACTTCACAAAACATAAAAATTTCTGTTCTTTACAGTATGGTAATAAAGAAAATTAAAAAGCCACAGGCTAGGAGAAACAGAATATACACCTGTACCCATTATTTGTTAAGGCATTAAGACAAACCACCCAATGAAAAAATAGGCAAAAATTGTCAATGTGCTTTACAAAAAATATAAAAATAGCTAAAAAGCACATGAAAACAGATATTCATTATTAATTGCTAGGAATATAAAATTTGTTTAATGTAGCTTTTTTTTTTTTAACTCTCACCTAAAGGAGTTTATGGATTTCAGAGAAAGAGGGGCAGAGGAAAAGGAAAGAAGGGAGGGAGACGGAGAAAGATAAACAGACACTGATGTGAGAGAGAAACACTGATCGGTTGCCTCTGTATATAACCCGACTAGGAATCAGACCTGCAATCTAGGTATGTGCCCTGACCAGGGATCAAACCCGCAACCTTTTGGTACACAGGATAATGCTCCAACCAATAGAGCCTCCCAGCTAGCGTAGGGAAATAAAATTTAAACCACAATAGACACATCTATACTCAGAATATGTAAAAGATAAAGACTCCTTTTCTTTGTCACACACACAAAAAAAAGATGAAGACTCTCAAGTGTTGGTAAGGACATGGAACAACTAGAACTTTCTCATTCAGTGCTGGTGGGAGTGTTAAATGGTATAAGCATTTTGAAAGAGCTAGGCAGTTTCTTATAAACTTGAATATACAACCATTTACTCATAAATTATTATTTAAGACACACAAAAGTATAATGTGCACAGGAAGACTTCTACATAACAGTCAATAGCTGGAATCAACTCAGATGTCCACCCAAAGGTCACTGGACAAACTGTGGTTATGATCTACAATAGAATCAGCCATAAAAAGGAACAAAACTGAGTCCAGGCAGTGATGCTCCATTGATTGGGCATTGGCTCATGAATAAAAGGTCACCAGCTCAATATCCAGTCAGGAAATACATGTCTTGAGTTGCAACATCAATGTTTCTCTCCCCTTCTTTCTCCTTCCCTTCCCTTCTCTCCCTTCCCCCTCTCTAAAATCAAAATTAAAAATCGTTTTAAGGAAAATATGAATAGAATGACATGCTAAGCAAAATAAATCAGACACAAAAGAGTAAATACTACATGATTTCGTTTATATAAAATGTTAGAAAATACATGCCCTGGCTGGTGTAGCTCAGTGGATTGAGTGCCAGCCTATAAACCCAAAGGTTGCTGGTTCAATTCCTAGTCATGGCACATGCCTGGGTTGGGAGTGTGCAAAAGGCAATCAATCGATGTGTGTCTCGCACATCAATGTATCTCTCCCTCCCTCCCCTTCTCTCTAAAAATAAACATTAAAAACTTTTAAAAATCTTTTTAAAAATAAAATACAATACTGAAAAAGACAAAACTGATTTATAGCAACAGAAAAATCAACAGCTGCCTAGGATACAGATAAGGAGTGGGGAATAAACACAAAAGGACACAAAGGAACTTTTATTGGATGATGGAAATATTCTTTATCATAATTGTGGTCATAAGTTGTATGAATATACATACATCTGTTAAAACTCACTGATTTAAAATTGGGTGCATTTTAATATATGTAAATTATCCCCCTGGCTGGTGTAGCTCAGTGGACTGAGTACAGGCTGTGAACCAAAGGGTTGCTGGTTCCATTCCCAGACAGGGCACATGCCTGGGCTGTGGGCCAGGTCTCCAGTGTAGGCCACGTGAGGCAACCACACATTGATGTTTCTCTCCCTCTCTTTCTCCCTCCCTTCCCCTCTCTCTAAAAATAAATAAAACCTTTAAAAATATACATGTAAACTAAACATCAATAAAGTTAATTAAAATATCATTTATTCACTACTTAAAGTCATACCTTCTTTTATTATACCTCATAGATACTGTATTTTTTACAAATTAAAAGTTGGTAACAACCCTATATTGGTTAATATATCAGCACCATTTCTCCGATAGCATTTGCTTTTTTAGCAAGAAAGTATTTTTTAATTAGAGTATGTACATTTTCTAGACATAATGCTACTGCACACATAATAGGCTACAATACAGTGTAAACTTAATTTTTACATGCACTAGAAAACCAATATATTTCATGTGACTTGCTTTATCATCACATTTGTTTCACTGTAATGGTCAGTAATTTAACCCACAATATCTCCTGTATTTCTGTATAAAACTATGCTTTGCATATAATAGAAGTTCAGTAAGTTAAATGAAAATCATAATATGAAACATTCCTGACATACAAGTATGAATCAACAAACTCCTGTTGGAAGAAAGTATGACCCTGATTCCTAAAGGTAGACAAAAATTCCTTATTTATATTCACTGAGTATTTACTCAACATCTACTTACCATATGCCAAGACAGTATGAACTACAAGGAAAGAGAGAAGTTCAGAACAGAGAAAAACCAGTACGTCACTGCCTAGAAAATGACAAAATGTTTACAACTTACGTTGTTAGCAAGAACGCCCCATCACCACATCTTTCCAGAGCCTTTCGTGCAGGAGGTTTTGCTGCAAATTCTACAAAACCTTTTCCTGTAGCTCTACCACGATCATCCACAACCACAACGGCTTTCTCTACTGGACCAAACTGGGAAAATGCTTGCTCTAGCAGCTCATTGGAAACAACTGGAGAAAGGTTCTTGACAGTCAGGGCTGCTCCATGTGTAGCAAAACGAATCCGGAGAGGTCTGCTCTTCAAAATGGTGCCATCAAGCTCTGCTTTTGCAATTTCAGCCAGCGTTCTGGATTCCTTTTTAGGAGGAAAAAATTACTTTTAAAGATGATAGAAACAGAAAAATTAGAAGTAGTAGTTTGTTTCTAGGGAGACTAGCTAGTCAGCTAGGTAACTTGTAATAGGATCAATTTGTTTTTGTGTCTTTCAATCTTGGTATAACATGCACTTATGAATTATTTGATATAATTTTAAACATCCTGAGTACAAGGTCCCAACCCCAATGTCCTATTAAAAGTCATCACTTTGCCCTGCCAGGTGGCTCAGTTGGTTGGAGCTCTGGCTAATGCACCGGATTGCAGGTTCAATCCTAAATCCAAGCAAAAAACTAGGCTGCAGGTTCTGAGCCCTGTCAGGGTTCCTATGGGAGGCAAATGATTGATGTTTCTCTCTCTCTAAAATCAATTAAAAAAAAAAAAAAAACAAACCTCTGGCTGGTGTGGCACAGTGGACTGAGCACCAGCTTGCAAACCAAAGGGTCGTGGGTTAGATTCCCAGTCAGGGCACATGCCTGAGATGCAGGTCAAGTCCCCAGTGAAGGGCGCGCAAAAGGCAACCACACCCTGATGTTTCTCTCCCTCTATTCCTCCCTCCCTTCCTCTGTCTAAAAATAAATAAAATCTTTAAAAACACACACACACACACACACACACACACTCTCTCTCTCTCTCTCTCTTTCTCTCTCGTAAGGATTTTTAAATCCTTACGATCTTTTAAGCCATCACTTAAAAGATTATCTGCTCATAAACAAATTACAAACTATTAAATATTCAAACAAAATCTTTTTTTAAAATCTCCTACACATATCCAAAGAAATACATGGGGGAAGGAAGTATAAAGAGACTAAATAGTCATGGAGAAAATACAATAAAGATTAAATCAAAAACTTAAATAAATACCTATTTTTCAAGACCAAGTACCAGTTACTAGAAACTATTGTGAAAACAAAATTCTCTATGCCCTCTAAGTTTTTAATATTTATTTATCTTGTTTTTAATTGACTTTAGAGAGAGAAGAAAGAGAGGAATGGGAGGGAGAGGGAGAAAGAGAAAGAAAAACAAGGAATAGTTGTTCCACTTACTGACACATTCGGTGGTTCATTCTTGTATGTGCCCTGATAAGGGATCAAATTTGCAACGTGGTTGTATTGGGACAAGGCTCTAACCAACTGCCCTACCAGGCCAGGGTTATTTATATCTTAATAAAATATATCACCTCTCCAATGTCAGAAAATCATCTTTTCCTTTTTATTTCCATTTCTCTTTTATGCTATCTGTGAAAACTACTAAGAGGTACTGTTAATCACTTCTCCAGAAATACTTTCATGGGCTACATATTTCTCACAATTACATTTGAGAAGTGTGCGTGCACACACACACACACACAGGAACTATAAGAGTTCTCTCCATTTCATACAGGAACAAATGCACATGGACTTATATAAACTAGAAAATTTGTTCATTGATGAAACCCCAAGATAAGAGATGTTTCTTCTTGAATTCAAAGCTGGTATAGAATAAGGACATCTAAAACAATAAACAACAAACTGCTAAATATAGTAACACAGATATAGTGGTTTTCTTTGTGTTGTAAGAACTGTCCAGAGACTTAAAAGAGGCTTTGCATGCATTCTTAATACAAATATGTATTATCTTATGAAAAATCTTATGAAAAAAGCCTTAAAATCACAAAAGTTCTTTCTTCAATCCCTAAAATGTTCATACAGCTTTAAAATACTGCACTTACACAAAAATCTACCTACAAAATATTACAAAGGAAAATGAATCTAACCTTTTTACATATATTCAAAATGGCCACTGTTTTTTACTCTTAATAGTGGTAGTCCAGACAAATATTTAATGAGTATCCAACAAGGAACAGGTACTATGTGCCCAATATGTAATAATCCAACAACTGAAAGAAAGATTTTAGGAATGGATTCTTGAACTAAAATGCCATCAGGTATAATTGGGAATGGGAAGGGACATGAGGAAATTTCATGGGATAATAATAATGTTCTGTACCTTGTAAGAGTTTGAGTTAAACAGATTGATGTAATTGTCTACAATCACCAAATCACACGCTTAAAAGTTGGAAATTTCACTGAATATAGATTTCAAATACCTCAAAAAATAATACTAGACTTTAGGTAATAAGCATGCTGGAGTTTTTGTTTAAGAGTCATAAACTGATGAATGATGGAGAGATGAACAGATATGAGAAAAAATATATACAACACCATTTAACTGTAAAATCAAGGTGGTAAGTTATGCATATATACACATATATGATCTGCCTCAAATTTTTTACAACAAAATGTTTGGGGACAGGAGGATAGAGAGCTTAGTGAGGACATGGTAAAACTGTAGAGTGTTTCTAGCAGAAATCACATTGTCAGATTCAAACACATAAACAATGCCATTTTTTTCCCCAGGGGAAGCAAGGAACTCAATTTTTGTTAAATCAAGTAATTTTTTACTGTTAGAAATGAGTTCAATTTTTAATACTTTTTGGCCCAAGAAATGTGTTTACACTGTCAGGAATTTTCAGCGTTATAATCTTTTTTTTTTTTACTTTATATTGTTCGTGATTTTAAATGGTTTTACATCAGGGTTTTTTAGCCTGGGCACCACTGAAATCATGGGTTCTTGTTGTGTGGGCACTGTCCTGTGCATTGTAGGATGTTTATGTCGGTAGAACCAAACCCCAATTTTAACAACCAAATATGTCTCTTGACACTATCAAATATCCCATGGGAAGCAAAATTACCTTATTTGCAAACCACCACTCTAAATGTGTATTTGTAATCAATTAAAAATATATGTAACCAAGTAGTTACTATATGCCAGCCATTTATTACGACACACACAACACACACACACGTATATTCTCTTTCATCATCCTTGCCAGCAGTCTTACACGGTAAGTTGTTTCACACACTGCAAATGCTGACTTGAATCTATACACAAATCACAATCTCCACTAAGATACCATAGATCCCACCTTCCAGCTGGTGTCTCTGCATCACTCTAAATAAAAAGTAAATCTACAGGTTCTTAACTGAAAGCAATAGAAAAAAATAAAATAAAAACAAGAAACTAAGTGACTACCCAAGATAGAGACTGCTTAAACCAGGGCAGGGGGTGTCCAATCCATAGCCCACAAAGGCTATGCATGTGGTCCAACACAAAATCATAAATTTACTTAACACACTACTTACTTTTATTACTTCGAAATGTACATTTTCCTTATTAGTGATTGGGACCTGCTCAACAATTTTAGGCCTAACCCACTGGGCCATATCAGTCAGGTGCTCAGTGATTTTAAAAGATCATCCTTTTGATCCAATTATGCTACTACATAATTAGGGTTACTCTTTTGCTTATCTGTGGTGACAGATATCACAGAAATTATGCACAGACCTTTTTATTGCTCATCAGTGTTTGTGTTTGATGTGTGGCCCAAGACAACAATTCTTCTTCCAGTGTGGCCCAGAGACACCAAAAGGTTGGACATTCCTGAACTAGGGTCTAATGATTATCACAAGACCCCTTCTGAAAGCTCTTTCCAAAGCACATGATCTTTTCTCTCACTATTTATTAGTGGTTAAAATTCCCCACTGCAAGAGTACTAATAACTGTAAGGAAATCTACTGATGCAAAATGGAAACAGCCTTTAAACTGATCAATAGAAAGTTGATGAAATAACTTGCAGTATGCTCGTACTGTGAAATATCATCATTAAAAACAATCTAATGATGACCTGGCTGGTGTGGGTCATTGGCTTGAGCACCACCTGAGAAACAAAGGGTCACTAGTTCCATTCCCAGTCAGGGCACAGGCCTGGGTTGCCGGCCAGGTCAGGTCCCCAGTAGGGGACACATGAGAGGCAACCACACATTAATGTTTCCCTTTTTCTCCCTCCCTTCGACCCCTGCCCCATCTAAAAGAAATAAAATCTTAAAAAAAAAAAAAACTAGTAAAACAAAAAGATGTCAAAGATATAATAAATGAAAAACTCAAAATCACAATACGATATACATAGTATGGCTTTATTTTTATGGAAAAAAAATACAAAGGTTAACAGTGATCAAGTTTAGTAAGTGCATTAGAAAAGGGAAGGTCTTTCTTTCACTAGGGTAAACTGTAATCAAGAGAGCTTCCCTGAAATAAAAGATGACTTGAAATCATATGCTGAACATGCCCACTAAGTACCTTTTGTATTGTCTTCTCTAATGAATATTTGAACATTCTGTTAAAAGCATACATTATTTCACAACTAAAACTAAGCCCCAGCTGGTGTGGCTCAATGGATTGGGCACCAGCCTACAGACTGAAAGATCACTGGTTTTCAGGTCTAAGGCTGGGGGCATGCAAGGGGCAACCCACCAATGCTTCCTTGGGGACATGCAAACTAACCAAGGTTTCTCTCCCTCTCTTTCCCCCTGCTTTCCTTCTCTCTGAAAATAAATAAATAAAACCTTTTTTAAAAAAATGTAAAGCAAAAGGGGAGGTGGTTAAGTCCCCTAAAAATAAGTACAAGTAAATCCAGTTGACTTCTAATTCTTTAACTAGAAAAATGGTTCTCAAACTTTACCATCAGAATAATACCAGAAATTGCTGGATCCCAATCCCAAAATTTTGACTCAGTAGATCTAAAAAGGGACCCTAAAATTTGCATTTCTAACAAATTTCCAGTTAACTGATTGTTGAAGTGAGACAATTTTTGAGACAGTATAAGGTAAGCATTGCTAGCATGAACAGTAGGAGAAATAAATTAAATGGCCTTCTGCTTACACTAGGAAGAAATCTGAAGCAGTTGGACAGGGCCAACAGTTCTGTGAATCACGGCTCCAGAAATCTAGATTACTAAAGATAAAAGTAGGAGATGGGGTAATAAAAGTAGGAGATGGGGTAATAAAAGCAGAAACCAAGTCCAGATAAAATACCATCTTTAACTACATTACACTACCTTTAAAATGCACTACAACTTTTGAGTTAATGTATCCAATCTAAATTGGCAATAACCAGTCAAAACATAAAAAGAACCTGTTGGGTCTAAAATTCCAGAAAAATGTGTCTAAAATACAAATACAGTCTATTTCATCCCCAATGTACCAGAGCCTCAACACTATGGATTAGGACGTCATCACAAGGAAGTGCCACCTAAATTCTTTTCCCTGCCCTGTCTAGGTAGTTCAGTTGGTTAGACCATCATCACAATACACCAAGGTTGCAGGTTTGTTCTGTCCCGGAACAAACAAGTAGCAACCAATGAATGCATAAATAAATGGAACAAACTGATGTTTCTTTCCTTCTTTCCCTCCCTCCCTCTCTATCATAAATCAATAAATACATTTTAATTCTTTTCCCTACCATTACACACCTGTAATATGCTGACCCTATACCACCTGAAAAACGTGTCTGACCTCATCAATTAACTGCAAAACTACAACTACCATTCTACGAAAATTTATTTGCATTTAAAATTACTAAATGAGTAAAAAGTATTTCTTTTTTGTAAAGATTTCATTTATTTATTTTTAGAGAGAGGGGAAGGGAGAAAGAAAGGGAGAGAAACATCAATGTGTGGTTGCCTCTCCCACACCCCCTACTGGGGACCTGGCCTGAAACCCAGGCATGTGCCCTGACTAGGCATCGAACCAGCTACCCTTTGGTTCACAGGCCAGCACTCGATCCAGAGCCACAGCAGCCAGGGCATAAAAAGTATGTCTAAAAACACAAATCAGATAAAACTCACTATTTTAGAGCTACTACACCACCCCTATACACACACTACAGCCACTATGCCATTACTTACATTCAAATCAGGCATATACTCGATAATTTTCCTAAACAGAAAAAAATACATAATAGCTCAAATATACATAAACCTTTTAAATTTACCTATGCAGCATAGAGCTCAGGTTAAACAATAAAATTAGTTCAAAGAGTCAAATTTTGTATACCAAATTGTAATTTCCAGCTGACAAATTTTTAACATTCTTACACAAAAATTTAGGGTCATAGGTTTGGAGGAGCATATGCAAAAGGCACAAAACTACAGCAACCCTTCTCACCTCCCCATTTCATAATCCCATGAATTTTTTTTTTAAGAAAAGAAAGCAATGAGCTCTCCTATCCAATGTAGTAGCCACTGACCACATGTGTCTATTTAAGAATATATAAAATTTAGCCCTGACTGGTGTGGCTCAGGTAATTGGGTGTAACTCCATGAAGTGAAAGGTCACTGGACTCCACTTCAGAGCACCTGCCTGGCTGTGTGTTCAGTCTAAGTCAGCGGAGCATACAAAAAGCAATTGATCAATATTTTCTCTCACACTGAGCTTTCTCTCCCTCCCTTCTCCCTCCCTCCTCTTTCTCCTTCCCTTCCTCTCTCTTCAAAAGTAAGTAAACAACAACTTAAAAAATGTAGAAAATATATAAATAATAAAGAAAAATAAAGTATTAAATAAATAAAATCTAAAATTCAACCCCTCAGTCACAACGGCCTTATTTTAGTCAACAATCACATGTCTAGTGGCTACTATATTACACAGCACACCACACACAGCATTCCTATCATTGCAGACAGTTCTGTTGCACAGCTTTTATAAAGGGTTATTAAAGATAAGAAAAAGATTTCCCCATTTCAATAAAATGTTTAAGTGTAAGGACTTCCAAAAGAGGGAAATGCAGCCCTACCATTCTTCCAGAATGTCGACTTCAGCATAGACTAAGATGATGCTAGAGGCTAAAGATGTCGAAAATGTTAAATACCATCCTTTTGGAAAAGTTTAATAAAAGTTGTCAATAATATTTATTGTAGAAACCTAACTTCCTTTATTTTAAGAAAACTTCTTAACACATGCCTTTATTTTATGAAAACTTCGGAACACATATATATTAAAAACAACTTTTACCAAGTGACAGGCTGCTTCTCTGATGTCCAAAACATAATTGAGGGGAAGGAGGGGGGAGCTTGGGGGGGCGGTGAGGGATAAGGCAGAAAACTATACTTGAACAATAAAAAGTAAATGTTATTTTTTAAAAAAACATAATGAAGTGCATTAATTTTATGTTGAAAATACACCGGTTAAGAAAATTTCCACGTCTCAGTAACACCCTATTAAGATTTCCCCTTCTCTTAAGGCCGTTTAGATGTTCAAATGTCCTCCCAGAAAGTAGTGTCATTTAATCGCAATCAATTTTATCTACATATTAAAATTTTGTCTTCACCACTCACTGAGAGAACACAGTATTAAAACCTAAAGTTCCGGCCTGGCTGGTGTGGCTCAGTGGATTGAGTGCCGGCCTGTGAACCAAAGGGTTGCTGGGGCAATTCCCAGTCAGGGCACAGGCCTGGGTTGCAGGCCAGATCCCCATTGGGGTTGCATGAGGCAACCACACACTGATGTTTCTCTCCCTTTCTTTCTCCCTCCCTTCCCCTCTCTCTAAATATAAATAAAATCTTTAAAAATATAAAATAAAACAAAAGCTAAAGTTCCAATAGGAAAGCTTCCCCAAACTACCATGACAGTAAAATCTGAGGGTCAAACAAGACAACACACATATTTACTTGTGTAAAAAAGCCTCCCTCCAAGAAAGATATGGGGGGGGGGGGGTTCAGCATCTAAATACGAATTACAACAGTGCTATAAAACTGACACTGATGGAATATCACCAGAAAGCACTTAGGAACAGAAAGATGATACTGTGTCCTTAATGTAAACCCTCACCGTTCAGACTCTAAAAAATACATAGAGGAGGCACATACTGTGTATCCCATTGAATAACTAAGATTTAAATTAAAAGTGAGTGAAAAAATAACATTCTAGTGTTAAAGTGTGTAAGTATTAAAACAGTATGTAATTCCAAAATGTGGAAACTTCCCAAATGTTAGTGGGGACACATTATACTAGGTAATAAATTCAGCACAGTCCCAACACTGCGGAATGTAGGATAAATGCGGGTTGTACTAAGGCGAGGCACGGTGAGGAACAACGGGGTTTACCATCAAATATTTGAAGGTCTGGTGGAAGCCAAAGTGACGATTTCGGTAATTTTATAATAAATTAGACTGCTAGGTGGGCCTTTCTGCCCCATGAAACTTCCGGTAAGGCCTCAGTTCCCGTTCCAATTCCTTTCCCATTCATTCTCTTTTCAAACCCATTTTGCCTGGACTTGGAGTTGCCACTCCATTGGTTCCCAGTATGGGTGACCGCAATCAGCAGGACAGGGCTAACCGCCAGCAACGCAAGCTGCTCGGAACCTCAGGAGACCTGCCGGCCGGGAGAGGACGAGGACCTGCTTCCGCCCCACACTCACCAGGCGGATGAAGCCGAAACCGCGGTCGCGGTTGATGAAGACTTCACTAGGCTCACCATAACGCTCGAAGAGCCGCTTGAAGTCCTCCTCCGTGATATCGGTAGGCAGATTGCCCACGAAGAGGCGGCAGCGCTGCGTGTACGTCTTCTCGCCCGGCTTAAGGAAGCTCTTGATATCGATGGTGAAGCCCACCTCCTCGTCCGGGCGCTCCTCCGCTGGAGCAGGAGTGGGTGGAGCGGTCTCCCCAGCCAGCACGAGCGCCATGGCGGCCGCCGGCTCACTCTCCCCTGCCGCCGATTCAAGAGCGCGCAGGCGGGCTGGGTTTTTCTCAATTCTGACTTGCTTCAGGTTTCCCCTCAACATCATCGGAGGGCTTCGCCTCGGGCCCGCAGCCAACCCTAAAGATATGTCTGCGGCTCCGTGCCTCCGTTTGGAGATGGTACTGGAAAAGGAGAAAGCCAAACAAAACCACGAGATGGTCAAGCCAGCAGCACTACCCGACCTTCCCCAAGCCCGCAGCCACTACACGTCCAAAATGGCGCTGCCTTCAGCCGCAGTTGGAAGGGACGCGGGTCTTAAGCCCCGCCCACACGCTAACCCCAGCACGCCTGCGCAGTCTTGGCGCCAACGCACCTGAGCTAGCATGCTTCTGCGCACAATATTACCGGTGTTCCCTTTACAGGACTCCATTTAGCTCAAGCAAGTAGTTTTCCAACGCCCTAAAATAACAGGAATTCTTGGTTGTACATACAGGGAAAATTGTGCGATGTGTGCAGCAGTGTATTAAAATACGATATTCTATGTAAATATCCAATTCAAGACCACTGGAAAATGAAAACCTACACATTGTATGCATGGCTTTTAGTAACAGCGTATTTGCCAATAATTAAAACAAGTAAAAACACGTTTTGCCTGTTTCAAGAGCAAAGTTTTTATTATATTTCCTAATAAGACACTGCAATTCTATAAAATAACTGTGTCTATGAAAGTAACACAACCAGCCCCAGAACTCCTATAGCACTACCCTGTAACAAGAGTCCACAAACGTTTTCTGTAAAAGGCCTGAAGGCAAATATTTTACGATACGAGAGTCAGCCACACCAGTGTCTAATAAACTATTCGGTGCTGTCCAGTACTGCTCCTAGTACATGGTAAGTCTTCAGTGAATGTTAAGAAATGAATTCACAGTCATTGCAAAACAGTTCAACAGTTTTTCATAAAGTTACATATAGGATGACTTTAAAACAGAAATCCAACTCCTAACTATTTAGCCAAGTGAAGTAAAAACTTGTGTTCACACAAAAACCTATATGCAAATGCTTAAAGGGGCTTTTGTGTTATCTGCAAAAAAAAAAAACTGAGGGTTTTTTTGTCATGATCAGCAAAAAATTGAAATAACCCAAATATCCAACTGGTAAATGGATAAACAGTGGTAGAGTCACATAATAGAATATACTACACAATAAAAAATAAACAACTACTAATACAGCCCTGGCCAGACAGCTCAGTTGGTTAGAGCATTATCCAATACACCATGGTTGTGGGTTCCATCTGTGGTCAAGGCACAAGAATCCACCAATGAATGCATCAATAATTGAATCAACAAATCAATGTTTCTCTTTCTCTCTCTCTCTCTCTAAAAATCAATAAATAAAATTTAAAAAAATAAACTACTGATAATAGCAACAATGGGACTCCGAAGGCTATATTCTGTATATATCACTCTGGAAAAGACAAAGCTGTAGCTCCAGAAAACAAATCAGTGGTCGCCAGGAGCTGGGAAACAGGGAGGGGTTGACTACACAGGGATACCGGAAAATTTTTGGAAAAATGGAACTATATATTGATTACGGTGTTGGCTATACAACTGTGTGTATTTGTCTACACTCAAACCTGGGCACTAAAAGGGCCAATGTTACAGTATTTAAATTATATCTTAAACAAAATAAATTATCAAAAGAAATAAAAACACCACAGGACTAATCCCTATCTGCCTTGGTTACTACCAAAATTCTAATCACTCAGACTCTACAGACAGTTTAGCAAGTTCCTCAAACTTACCCATTTCTCCCACCCTGCTCAGTCACTCCAAAGTCCTTAGAAACTAACTCTCTGTCATCAGCAAAATCCCTCCTCTAAACATGTCTTCCCCTTCCTGCTTTAACTGGAATATGGTTTTCCTCTTAAGACTGCTTCCCCTGCAGCTATCGCTAGAAGTGGATATGTTTTTTTCCTATGTCCCATGTGTCACTGGACACTCTCCTTGATCTCTTGAAACTTGGACACCATTATCCCTTGCTCCTTAAACAAAAATCCCAGATCCAAAAGGCTCATGCCAACATAAACTCCCTCTCTCCCCTCCCCCTCTTCTTCATTCCCTTCTTTCTCCCACTTTAGTAACTTTCTGACCACTCTTTAAACTTATGGCCACAGATATCAGATACCTCAGCCCCAAGTTATTTCTCTTACTTTATTTCCTATGCAACAATTTCATACATTTTTTCTCCCCTCCAACCAATGCTTCTCACCTCACTCATAGCTGATATTGCCAACTTTTATTAATTTCACTGAAGAAAAAGACACAATAAAAGTACCTCATTCTCTAAGCACGAAATCTACCAGCCTAACTCCATAGGTAGCCATATACACTGCCTTCCCTCCTGTTACATTGAATGAATTGCCATTGATCTTCTGTAATAACAACTCACTGGGTAGCATCCTTATTTTTCTAATCAAAATCTATTTTTAAATTTATTGATTTGACAGAGAGAGATAGGAAAAAAAGAGGGCACTCGAGAGAGAAACATCAATTTTGTTGTTCCAACCATTTATGAATTTATTGGTTGATTCCTGTATGTGCTCTAACTGGGGACTGAAGCTGCAACCTTGGTGTATCAGGACAATGATCTAACCAACTGAGGTACCCAGTCAGAGCTGGATAGCATCTTCTTTCCAAGTACATTGCTTTTATCTGATCACCTTCCCAAATGATCAGTTCTTTGATCAGTACTGAACTATTCCCAGCTGCAAAACAAACTGCTGATATAACTTCCATCTTTTTAAAAAAAAGGAAAGAAAAGAAATAAAAACTCTTTAGATAACATCTCCCTTAGCTACTACTTCTTTATGAAAGAGTCATCTATACTTTGTCTCTCCACTTGCTCATCTCTTGATTTCTCCTTAAGCCCCACTAATCAGGTGTCTACCCTGACATTCCATTCCTCAGAAACCTTTCTCATTACAATGGGCAACAGCCTCTACTTTACCAGATGCAAGTGTCAAACCTCAGATTATTCAACAGCACTTGAATAGTAGATCTATGTCTGAGTTTCATTATGTATAATGTGGGAAAAAGACCTACTTCATAGGCTTATTGTACATGTTAAATGAATTAATTACAGTCTTTGGAAAATATTATGGCACTATAAAATTATTATTGATCATTTCCCTCCTACCTTTTTGAAACAGCATTTTGTCTTCCATTCTACCATATTCTCTGGTGTTTTTATACCTCACTGTCCACTCCATAGTCTCAACATCTTTTGTAGGAATCTTCACTTCATATGTTAGAAAGCCATATATCTAAGTCCACCTTTCCTCTCTTCTCTAGGTACTCATTTCTCAGTCAGATACCAGGGTGCCTTAGAAGCAACAGAGAAGGTTTTCTAAAACCTCAACACTATTGATACTTAGGACCAAAAAATTATTTGTGAAAGTACATGTAATGGCATCACTGGCTCCCACCAACTAGGTGCCAATAGCACCCTACTCCAAGATGTGACAAACCAAAATATACCAGGCATTATTCTGATTACTTTACATTTATTTAGACCTTTTTATAAAAAGCAGTTTTAGGTTCACAAAATTTAAGAGGAAGGTACAGGACTTCTGGCCAAGATGGAGATGTAGGCAGACACACTGTGCCTCCTCCCACAACCAAAAGGACAACAACAATTTAAAAATAAAACAAAAAAAACAACCAAAACTGACAAAAAATTGAATTGTAAGGAAGTCTGACAACCAAGGAGTTAAAGAAGACACACTCATCCAGACCAGTAGGAAGGGCAGAGATGGGCAGAGAGGACTCCCAGCAAGGCCATAGCTGGAGGACCCAGGTAGGCAAGCTGGTGGCTGGTGGACCCAGCAAGGTGGCGGCTGGTGGAGCAGGCAGTCCCACATTCATGTGCAGATAAACCAGGGAAACAACTGGGGAGTCGGATGGTCTGCAAGACCCAGGGCCTCAGCTCACGGAAATAAAGCCTCAAACCATAGATTGAAAACACCTGTGGGGGTTAACATAGCAGTGGGAGAAACTCCCAGCCTCACAGGAAAGTTCTCTGCAGAGACCCACAGAATCCCAGAGCATACAGAAACACCCCCACATAGAAATCAGCACCAGAAAAGCCCAATTTGCTGGTAGGAAGTGGGGGAAGTGACTGAAATCCCACAGAGAAAGGAGCAAGTGCCATTGTTCCCCCTTGGACCCCTTCCCCACAAACAGCCTCACAACACAGCAACGCAGTAACGTGGGTTACCCTGGTGAATACCTAAGACTTTGTCCCTCACTACTTAGCAGGTGCATCAAGACCAAAAAAAAAAAAGGCCCAAATGAAAGAACAGATCAAAGCTCCAAAAAAAAAAAATACAACTAAGTGATGGAGAGATAGCCAACTTATGGAATGCACAGTTCAAAACACTGGTAGTCAGGTTGTTCACAGAATTGGTTGAATTTAGTCACAAATTAGATGGAAAAATGAAGGATATCCTAGTTGAAATAGAGAAAAATGTACAGAGAACCAGTAGTGATGGAAAGGAAATAGGAACTCAAATCAATGGTGTGGACCAGAAGGAAGAATGAAACATCCAACCAGAAAAGAATGAAGAAACAAGAATTCAAAAAAAATGAGAGGCTTAGGAACCTCCAGGACATCTTTAAATGTTCCAACATCCGAATTATAGGGGTACCAAAAGGAGGAGAGGAAAAGCAAGAAACTGAAAATTTATTTGAAGAAATCATGAGGGAGAACTTCCCCAATCTGGCAAAGGAAGTAGATTTCTAGGAAGTTTAGGAAGCTCAGAGGGGCCCAAAGAAGTTGGACCCAAGGAGGAACACACTAAGGCACATCATAATTACATTACCCAAGATTAAAATTAGGGGAGAATCCTAGAAGCAGCAAGAGAAAAGGAGAGAGTTACCTAAAAAGGAGTTCCCATAAGACTGTCAGCTGATTTCTCAAAAGAGACCCAACAGGCAAAGAAGGGGCTGGAAAGAAGTATTCCAAGTCATGACAGGCAAGGACCTACATCCAAGATTGCTCTATCAAGCAAAGCCTTCATTTAGAATGGAAGAGAAGATAAAGTGCTTCACAGATAAGGTCAAGTTAAAGGAGTTCATCATCACCAAGCCCTTATTATATGAAATGTTAAAAGTACTTATCTAAGAAAAAGAAGATAAAAAATATGAACAGTAAAATAACAGCAAACTCACAGTTATTAACGCCAGCCAGGGTCGAATTCTTTCTCTTAGTAACATGCACTTAAATTTCCTTGAATTCTTTTC